CTCCACTTTCCATCTCCTCTCTCCCACTATCAATCTCCCACTTTCTATCTCCCATATCTCATCTCCCATCTCCCATCTCCCACTTTCTACCTCCCATCTCCAATCTCATATCTTCCATCTCTCATCTCCTACGTTCCATCTCCAATCTCCCATCTCCCACTTTCTATTCCCCATCTCCCATCTCTAACTTTCTATTTTCAATCTCCCACTTTCCATCTCTCATTTCACATCTCCCATCTTCCATCTCTCATCTCCCACCCCCCACTTTCAATCTCCCATCTCCTACTTTCTATCTCCCATCTCCCACTTTCCATCTCCCACCTCTCATCTCCCATCTTCCATCTCCCAACTCCCACTTTCCATCTCTCAACTCCCACTTTCCATCTCCCATCTCCCAACTCCCATCTCCTATTTCCCATCACTCACATTCCATCTCCCATCTCCCACTTTCCATCTCCTATCTCCCACTTTCCAGTCCCCATCTCCCATCTCCCACTTTCCATCTCACACTTTCCATCTCCCATCTCACATCTCACAGTTTCCATCTCCCATCTCTCCTCTCCCACTTTCCATCTCCTATCTCCCATCTCCAATCTCCCACTTTCCATCTCTTGTCTCCCATCTTCCATCTTCCATCTCCCATGTCCTTTTTTCCAACTCCCATCTCCCATATCCCACTTTCCATCTCCCATTTTCCATCTCCCATTTTCCATCTCCCACTTTCCATCTCCTATCTCCCATTTACCATCTTTCATCTCCCATATCCCACTTTCCATCTTCCATCCCCCATCTCCCATGTCCTATTTCCCATCTTCCGGCTCCCATCTCCCTTTTCCCACTTTCCATCACCCATTTCCCCATCTCTGATCTCCCATCTCCCATCTACCATTTTGCATTTTCCATCTCCCGCTTTCCATCCCCCCTCCCCCCTCTCCTAACCATCTCCCGTCTCCCATCTTCCTTCTCCCATCTCCCATCTCGCATACCCATCTCCCATCTCCCATCTCCCATCTTCCATTTTTCCAACTCTCACTATCCATCTCCCATCTCCTACTATCTCCCATCTCCCATCTCCCATCTACCATCTCCCACTTCTCATCTTCTACTTTCCATCTACCATCTCCCATCTCCCACTTTCCATCTTCCATCTCCCATCTCCCACTTTCCATCTCCCTTCTCCCAATTTCCATCTCCCATCCCCCATCTCCCATCTCTCATCTCCCAACTCCCAGCTCACATCTCTCATTTCTGACTTTTCATCTCCCATTTCCCATCTCCAATCTCTCATCTTCCATCTTCCCTTTTTCATCTCCTATCTCCCATCTCATATCTCCCACTTTCTATTTCCCATCTCTCATTTCTCATCTCTCACTTTCCATCTCCAATCTCCCATCTTCTATCGCCCATCTCTCATCTTCCGCTTTCCATATCCCACCTTCCATCTCCCATCTCCCATCTCACATCTCCAACTTTCCATCTCCCATCTCTCGTCTCCCATCTCCCAGTTTCTATCTCCCATCTCCCATTTTCCATCTTTTTTCTCCCATCTCCCATCTCTCATCTCCCACTTTCTATCTCCCATCTCCCATCTCCCATCTTCCATATCTCATCTCCCATCTCCCATCACTCAAATCCCACCTTCCATCTCCCATCTCTCATCACTTACTTTCTATCTCACGTCTCCCATCTTCCCTCTCCCATCTCCCATCTCATATATCCCATCTTCTAGTTTCCATTTCCCATCTCTCTTTTCCCACTTCCCACCTCCTATCTCCCACTGTCCATCTCCCGTCTCCCATCTCTCATCTCCCATATCGCATCTCCCATCTCCCATTTTCCGTCTCCTATCTCCCATCTCCCACTTTCCATCTCCTATCTCCCATCTCATGTCTCCCATCTCATGTCTCCCATCTCACATCTTCCATCTCCCATCTTCTACTTTCCATCTCCCATCCCCCATCTCCCATCTCTCATCTCCCATCTTCCATCTCTCATTTTTCACCTCCGATCTTCCATCTCTGATCTCCCATCTCCCATACCCATTTTCTATCTTTCGTCTCCCATCTCTCACTTTACATCTCTTATCCCACATCTCCCACTTTCCATCTCCTAACTCCTATCTCACATATTCCATCTTCCATCTCCCATCTCCCACTTTCCAACTCCCAAAAAGAAGACATTTTTACACCGGTGTTAGCATACCATCAAGGCGTGCAAATATATCATTTGTTCGTTAAGACACGAAGGTCTCTAGGTGGTCGTTTCCAACATTGGTCGCGGTAGCAGATGACATATATTTGCTTCTTGCCGTGTCGCGGGTAGCGTATTGGGAGAACGACGAGTCATTTGTATCCTATCACATGAAGCTTTTGAAAACGCTGGCTGGTTTGGCCTTGCAGCACACCCAGGCTCGTGTTTTCCTGCTTCGTATTATATCGTTTATGAGGGGGAAGGAGGTTTCGGGTATACATTTTGTGGACATGAAAGGGTAGGATACCAAGGGGGGGAAAAAAAAAAAATCTTTGGGCGTAGGCCCCGTACTTGATGGACGTTCGTATTTACGTGTAAATTTATATCCAGAACCATGTTGATATTTATAGGGTTTAGTTCTTGTGGTAACTCAACGTACCAAGATTAATTGGTTATGAATGACTGCGCTGGGACAAACCTTACATTTCCTGCACCTTGCCCTGGGCGGGCCAGTACCGGTCGAAGTAATTATGGGCCAACATCATATTACGTTAATATCAATTTGCTTTTTCTTTAGTAGATAATCAACAGGATCTCATCCGACAATATATTTAAAATGAGCTGGATCGATGCTCCCTCAAAATGTTTAGAAGGTTCTTTATTAGCCCGCTGACGAATGATAAACCCTTAATGATGGCATGCGTTTATTGAGAAGCCGACCGTAAATACGGAAATCCTCATGGTGTTTAGGGATGACCGCATCGTCATAGGTTTTGTATTTTTGCCGTACTGCAGTTGGCGGCTGGTCGTGTATCTTTGCTGCCCGACGGGCATACAACCTTTGGCGGGTACTGACAAGATGGAATGTATATGCAAAGCGGCACGGGCATAATCCGAAATGGTTTACAGATATTCCGTGCTAGAGGCACTGGCTAAAAAAATCATTTTTCTTCCCTGAGTAGAATTTTCCGATATCGCCTAGGTATAGCACCTTCTTTACAATCCCTTTTTTTTCGCGGGAAATTTTGCAGCTTGACTGAATCATTGCACGAATCAGCGTCGCAGCCAATCAGAGGGCCCAGATCGAACCAGCCTTAATTCAGGGAAAATGATTAAATTAGGGATATTTGATTCGATTCTTACTGTTGCAATTGTTATCAATTGTTTCTCTTGGCCGCGCTTACTTCTCAATCGTGTCGCCGGTCCCAAGCGCGCTCGACGATGACATCTCATTTATCTCGCTTATAAGGTAAAACAAAAGTTAGTACCTTTTATTCATGCCTCAAATCATAATTAATTTTGTTTTGTTTTGCCTGCTCGTCATGCGACTTTGATCAACGCAGGGAACGGTGCGACGAGAAGTTGAAGCAAACGTGGTCCAAATGTACGTAAATGACAGGAAACAGAAACTAGTATTTTAAGAACCGCTTTGCATGGAATTTTCCTGAAGTGAGACCATAAGTGTCTCATTTTGCCTGGGGTTTGAAGGTTTCGCCATATAGTCCGTCCGTTGCCTGCCATTCCGTCGGACTGCGGTCTATTCCACTGGCATTCAGATTATGCCAGTGCGGTTTGCGATTGTATGCAATTGACTGAATCGGAAGAATCATGTCGGCCCCGTGTTTAGGGTTGAGGATCCCCCATCGTATGTCATCCGGAAGGGGTTAATTTTTTTCTGACCGCGGGCACGGTTCTGCAACGCCTTTCTTGATGGCCGTCAGTTGCATACATTCGCAAATCGCACTGGCATAATTTGCATGTAGATGATGTTGTCCCGTCGGACTGTAAAGGAGAACATCTGTACGAAGGCCCGATGTGAGGCTGTTCCACTCATTGAAGTCCCTTCGCAGGTGCTAGGGTCATCAATACGGAACATGATTGGTGCTTCACCCAATCCCGTGGGCTACTCCTGCGGCTAAGGGGTAGGATGATGCTCCTGCGACACGTGGTCTTTCCGCGTTAGTGTGGCAACGTTCACCATCGTCAGATGCGATTTCCGATGTGTGGCCTCCTCCGTCGCTGGAGATCGATTGCCAACCGAAGCGCGAGGTTTGGACGTCAAGAAGTTCCCCTGGCGACTGTGACGACGTCACGACCCCAGCGACGAACAAAAATGCGGAAAAATGTTCCGCAATTTCTGCGAGGGGTCGCATGGAGGGAGTTTGGCCACGTCAACGCCTACCATTGCGACAGGGGCTTCCAGTAGATTATTGGGCAAGATCTACACCTGCCATGATATACCATCATTGCCTCTTCCGTGTTGAAAACATCTTCCCGCTTCCTTGGGCTCTGGTCGCACCACCGACCATATCAATTCGGTCATTTTGCATGAGAAATCGTTATCTGGAACTGGCAGCCGTTACGGAACTGTCAAATCCATCGGCGGATAACGCTCTCGTTCGCGGCCGCAGATTGCAGATGCCGGTTTGCGAGTCGTAAACCGCCTGCGACTCTGCGTCGGTCGTATGCTCGTTCGTCCCATTTCATCAAAATCGTCGCGCAACGCAACACCTGCCCTGCCCCTTCCATTGTTGCCAACGAAATGGCGCTTCTGCCGCCCCTTACCCGCATTCCGCCCGCGTCTCCCTCCCCTTCTCGCTTCTCCACCCCAGCCCCTCCCTCGTACAGTACGGTACATTGCATTCTCCCCCCTCTCCCTCCCCAAACTCCCCGCACACGCGTACCCGCCAGTTTCCGATCTGCTCTGCGTTGCTTCCTCTGCTCCGTTCTCTCTGCACTAGTTGGTCCACTCTTTTGACTTCTCAACTCATCTGCTCCTCGAAACCACTTTTTCTTCCTCCCGAAATACGATGCACTCTTCAGAACCGCATTTCATCGGCTTCGTCCTCACCTGGCCTGCTCTAAACAAAAAATCCAGCTGCATTCGTATTTCTTGTTGCTGTCCAGCAGTCCTGCGGCTCACCTCTGCCACTTCTGCCTAGACACATTGACACATACACTTTTTGCCACCTCTATTCCTGCCCTCTGTCCCCACATCGTTTCTCACACCTTTCACTCGTCGACTGTTTCCACCTGCTCCCTGTCGCGAACACGATGGCCAGAGTCGCTGTTTTTCGTTTTACTCCTCGAGACGCAGTCGCCAGAACCGCAGCCGTCGGTAGCGCGAACGCGACTGCGAGCCCTTCGACCACCAGATTTAGCACCTCTCGCGCTCGCCTACCTTGCGCCGTGTCGCCGTCATGCCACTCCGTCTGTCGCCTCGAGTCGCAGTTCCTAGCCAAGCGAAGCTTCCCGTCGCCGGGATCCGGGTCCTCGTTTGACGCGCCGGCCTGGTCGTCCACCTGCCGCCGCTGCGTCAAGGTGGCGGCGCGAATCGCCCCGCCGGAGCGCCCCACCGCAACGCCGCCAGGCGAGGACCGGGGCGCGCGGCCGCCCAACGACGGCGACGCGTGGGAGCGGTTCGAGAAGGCGAACGGCGCGTCGGCGCGACGCGAGGAGGAGAAGCAGGCGCGCGAGAAGCGGGGAAGGCAGGGGAAGGAGCACCACGTGAGCATGGTGGTGAAGGTTTGCGGCGAAGACACGGAGCCGTCGATCACGTGCGCGAAGGTGCACGACCATCCGACGCTCGTGCTCATGCGACACGGCGAGAGCATGTGGAACGACCTGAAGCTATTTACTGGGTGAGAGTTTCTCTGATGTATCTCCTAGTCTGTCTGTCTGTCTGTCTGTCTGTTTGAGTGGCCCTTGACTGGATTGTCAGTCTGATTCGTTCCAGTTCGAGTGCTGGTTGGTCCGCGTCATCATTGATGCTACCTTCCCGAATCCCGCTTGTTCCACGTCACAGTGACGTGGACATTCCGTTGACGGAGCGCGGCGTGATGGAGGCCATGGCGGGCGGGCGGTCCGTGGCGGACATCGACTTCGACATGATCTTCACCAGCCGCCTCGTGCGCTCCAAGCAGACGGCGCTGCTCGCCATGACGCAGGTGAGCGTCGCACGTTGCAGGTGAGCGTCGCGTGTCTCGACTTGCTTTGTGGCGCCTAAGTAATCGATCATAAGGCAGGTTTGTTCCCTCCTTTCCCATTGGCCCTCCCCCTCTACCAGAGCGTGCACAAGGCGGTGCCGGTGATCGTGCGCGGGGGCTACTACGGGCGCGGCAAGACGGGCGACGAGAACCGCTTGCGGCTGCGCGAGGCGGCGGCGCAGGCGCTGAAGCAGGCGGCGTGCCGCATGATCCCCGTGTACGCCGACCCGCGCCTCAACGAGCGGTGCTACGGTGACTTGCAGGTGAGCTCCGCGCGCCCGCTGTTGGGGCAGTTCAACGGATTCCCACCCACGTGGCGGAGTGATTTGTTCATTCCTCTGACCATTTTCCTCACTCCCCTTGATTTGTTTAGTCGTTTGTTCATCTCTCCGTTTGTTCCATCTCTCCGTTGCTCTCCGTTGCTCCCTTGCTCAGGGTCTGAACAAGGAGGCAGCAGCGAGGGAGTTCGGGCACGAGCAGGTGGCTATCTGGCGGAGGAGCCACGACACGCGCCCGCCCAAGGGCGAGAGCCTGCTGGTGAGTGCTGCTGCTGCTGCTGCGGTGCTGTACTCGGTATAGAGTGATCCAGTGAGCAAGGTAGGAATTTCGGCAAGAGCCTTGTAGGCCTGTGCACCTTGTCTCTCGTCGCCGCTCACCACTCTCTTCCTGCCTTTCCACCCGCGTGCATATTCTCCTCGCCTCATTTCCCTCCTGTACCCGCTATTGCCTTCCTCAGGATACGTCAGAGCGTACACTTGCGTTCTTTCTGTCTACAGTGGAGCCGCGACTAGCAGAGGGCAAGAACGTGCTGGTGGTGGCGCATGGCAATGTGCTGCGCTGCATCATCTCGTACCTCTGTGATCTCACGGAGTTGGAGATGCTGCGCCTGCATGTAAGTATGGCTCGTTATAAGCATGACTCGTTATAAGCACGTCCGGTGGTGGCGCATGGCAACTCGCTACACTGCATCATTGCTTACCTCTGCGATCTCTCCAAGCTCGAGATGCTTCGCCTGCATGTTAGAATCATCACTTGTTTTAAGCAGCGAGCGTGGCTCGTTATAAGCCGTAAGCAGCTCTTCCCTCTTCCCTCTCCCCATCTCTCTTCCCTTCAGATTTGCACGGCACACCCCTACTGCTTTGCTTTTGATGGCGAGGAGTACGCGCAGTGCTGCGCTCTCCCCCCCCCTCCGTGGATCCCTTCACACAGCATGCTTTCTCCCCTTTCCATCTCCTCACCCTTCCCTCCACCAGATTGGCACGGCACACCCCTACTGCTTTGCCTTCGACGGCGAGGAGTACGCGCAGTGTTGTGCTCTCCCCCCCCTGTGGACCCCTTCACACAGCGGCCCCGCCAGAACGTGCCCGTGGGGCTGGTATCCGCCCTCAAGTCAGCACGCACAGAGGAGATCGACTCACTTATCTAGAGACTCTGAGGCTCGTATCTAGGCTCAGAGCCACACCTAGAGGCTTTGAGGCACACACACATTGCCTTGCTGCTGCGGTGGCTGATGTAGTGAGGGAACCGCTGCCCTTGTGCCGGTGGGCTAGGTTTGGGCTTTGAAGGCGGGATGCTTGGAGGAGGCTGGCTTGCTTGCCAGCAGGCTTTGCAGGAAAGGGGTGTTAGTGTGTGAGTGTGTGGTGTTTGTTGGTGAGAGCGATATAGGGTGAGAAAGCCGGCTGAGCATGCGTTCATATGCTGTATATATGGGCAGGTGCTTGCGTCGTATGGCTGGTGTCTCACAGCTACACTTCTTTGTTGTGCTTTTGCATGTATGAGTGACTGCATCTGTATGTTATGCTCCTATATTGGAGTGATTGGCGCTGCAGCTGGTTTGAATACCATGCTGTTTTTCCAAGTGCCAAATCTGTTCAGCTGAAGCCTCCATGGAGTTTCTCATTCTGCATAAGTTGGAAGTCTTCAAAGAACGCTGGAGTTGTTGATCATAATTTCACATATCAAGCATAAGCGAGGAATAACGGTGTATTGGCAGTACAAAACATCGAACCATCACATGATGGTGTCCTGTCAGAGGCACGCGCTTCCGACAGGCAATGCCCGCGCGAACGGCAGAACTCCAGGACCTCCATATTTTGGAGATTCCCCGAGACTGGATCGCAAAACTCATGTCAAAATTTCGCAAGTCGCATCGTCTGCTGACGAAGTGGCCAACCTCGTCGCCTACGCTTCCACGATCCACCGATAGTGCGGCGGCCTTCCCTTCATAAAATTCCTTCACCACTGTGAACCTCGATCAATCCCCTGAATCGCTCCACATTGCTGGACTTGTTTCACTGGTGGAAGTTCTACTCTCCCTGAAGTCCTTTCTCCAGCTTCCCTGAGCTCGCTAAGCCGAAGTCTATGGCTGCCGCCGTTTCTTTGACGGACCATTCTACTCTCGGATTTCTTAGTCTTAGTATTATCCCATCGTGATCTGTAGATATATTGATTTCAAAGACCGAGCTCATACCACTGCAATCCATGGCTCCTCCGGCGCAAACCAGTGACCATTTAACGCTTATTATACCGAACTCCACGTGTTCTCTAGTCTTACGGAGACGTAAAAGCTCGTAGGTAGAAGGCGCTAGGTAGAAGTTATATTTCTAGATTTTTGCAATCCGTAAGCCTGCTCTAGTATTGCTCCTGACTGCCATTCCGTCGTCTTCAGGTTTCTGCTCCAGTATAACAGTTGCCATTCCTAACTGAACAACTCAGTTCCAGAATTCTAGACACCGACTGACGGTCGCGGGGAGAGAGGGGGTTCGCCATGACACGACGGTTCGACGGAATGCCTCTCCATTATACGTTCGTTGAAGCAGCGATAACAGTTCGATCTGGCTACGACCCACGCTGATACCCTGCCGGCGGATATGTTTACACGACAAAAGCATCGCCGAATGATTTGATGACGCCGCGACGAGGACTTCAGACATCGAATAGCAATATGTCGCCTTCCATTCGGTGGTGAATGAGAGGGCGAAAGGCGAATTTGACGATGACGATCGAGATAATGACCTCTAATGGTGACGATCAGGGCTGCGATTTCTCTCGGTGACGATCGAAGTGACAGTTTTTAACGATTCTCACGACCGTTTCTGATGGTGACGATAGCGATGGTGACTTCTCACGGCGATGACCGAATTGACGCTGACGGTGACGATCAAGAGAGACGCTTCTCACGGCGACGAGTGAAGGGACGCTTTCCGACAGTAACTTCTCACGGCGACGATCGAAGCGCCGCTTTCTGACGCGGACGATTGAGACGCAAAGCGCTGACTAAAACCGAGGCGATGCGACGGCCGGTCGGGATTACAAAAACAGCTACGAGCAGCAGAGTGGATGCTGCTGCTGGATGCTGCTGCTGCTTCTGTCGCTGCAAGCTCCCCCATACGGCTAATTCCCCTCTCACTTTGCCTTTGTCACCCTTTCTGCTTCTGGTTCGTCCTTGCCCACTTTGTACCGCGCCTTTTCCTCACTGCATGCTCGAAAAACATGGAGTCGTTTTTTAAAGCGTTTGGCGATGGTAGCGCATGGCACTGGGCCGGCTTGAGCTCATACTAGAGTCTTAGGGGGTAGAGAAGGATGCATTCATACTTATGCCCGCGTCCCTTCCTTACCTCGTCCCCCTTGCCTGCTAGCTCGCCGCCCTAGTGCTGTGTGCTACCGTCGCCTCTCCTTTCACAGCGTCACACTGCCACGTGTTTTCTTTCTTCAGCTTTTCTGTTACGCAGTCGTTCTTGTTCCCTCTGCCTCCTTGCATGCGTTTCACTGCTTTCCTGCATCGACTGACTACTTCGGTTCCTTTACCCTGCTCAGTCCTCCTGCTCCCCCTTTTCTCCATCCCTCTCATCTGGTGCTATGGCAGCGTGGTGCGGGGAGGGAGGGTGGTGGAATGACGCACGGCAGGCAGTCACAGCGGTGTGCGAGCCTCCTGGAAGCCTGACGCCACTGTCCTGCAAGCACCCCCATACGGCTAAGTTCCCTCTCCTTTGCCCTTGCCATCCTTGCTGCTTCTGCTTCGTCTTTTATCGTTTCCCGGCTTTTTACAGCGATTTTCCTCACTGCATGTTCAGAAAACAAAACGAGAGACGTGAGATGAGCGTCAAAAGTTGAATGAGAGATGAGCGGCGTTTTGGCGATGGTAGTGCTCTCATGGCACTGGGGCGGCTTGAGCTCATACTAGAGTCGTAGGGGGATAGAGTAGAATTCATTCATACTCATGCCCGCGTCCCTTCCTTACCTCGTCCGCCTTGCCTGCTAGCTCGCCGCTCTAGTGCTGTGTGCTACCATCGCCTCCCCTTTCACAGCGTCTCAGTGCCACGTGCGTTTCAACTTCAACTTTTGTTTTCATTATGCATTCGTTCTTGTTACCTCTGCCTCCTTGCATGCATATCTCTGCCTCTTGCTATCTATCTTGCTTCGACTGGTTACTTGAGTTCCTTTCCCCCCGCTCCATCCTCTTGCTTTCCTTTGCTGCACCCCTCTTGTCCGGTGCTTTGGCAACGTGTGTGGGGAGGGAGGGCGGTGGGATGACACATGGCAGGCATTTACAGCAGGGCACGTGCCTCCTGCAAGCACCCCCATACGGCTAAGTTCCCTCTCCCTGCGCCCTTTCCATCCTTACCTCTTCTGCTTCGTTTTTTATCATTGCCCACTTTTGTGCTGTGTTCTTTCCTCACTGCATGCTCGATAAAACAAAATGAGAGATGAGAGATGAGCGATCAAAAGTTGAGTGAGAGATGAGCGGCGTTTGGCGATGGTAGCGCATGGCACTGGGGCGGCTTGAGCTCATACTAGAGTCGTAGGGGGTAGAGTAGAATGCCCGCGTCCCTTCCTTACCTCGTCCCCCTTGCCTGCTAGCTCGCCGCTCTAGTGCTGTGTGCTACCATCGCCTCCTCTTTCACAGCGCCACATTGCCACATGCTTTTCAACTTCAACTTTTGTTTCCGATACTCATTTGTTCTTGTTACCTCTGCCTCCTTGCATCCATTTCACTACCCTCTTGCTTCTACTGACTACCTTGGGTTCCTTTCCCCCTCTCGATCCTCTTGCTCTCCTTTGCTCCACACCTCTCGTCTGGTGCTATGGCAGCGTGGTGCGGGGAGGGAGGGCGGTGGGATGACGCACGGCAGGCAGTCACAGCGGTGTGCGAGCCTCCTGGAAGCCTGACGCCACTGTCCTGCAAGCACCCCCATACGGCTAAGTTCCCTCTCCCTTCGCCCTTGCCATCCTTACCGCTTCTGCTTCCTGTTTATGACTGCCCTTGATTGTTCAGCGTCTTTTCCTCACTGCATGTTTGAAAATACGAAATGAGAGACTTGAGATGAGCGTCAAAAGTTGAGTGAGAGATGAGCGGCGTTTTGGCAATGGTAGCGCATGGCACTGTTGCGGCTTGCGCTCATACTGGAGTCATAGGGGGATAGAGTAGAATGCATTCACACACATGCCCGCGTCTCGTCCCCCTTGCCTGCTAGCTCGCTGCCCTAGTGCTGTGTGCTACCATCGCCTCCCCTTTCACTCCGTCACTGTGTCACATGCTTTCTATCTTCAGCTTTTGTTTCCGTAAGTCATTCGTTCGTGTTCTCTCTGCCTCCTTTTATGCTTTCTATACTTCTTTGCTTCTGCTGACTGCTTGGCTTCCTTTCCCCCACTCGCTCCTCTTGCCCTCCTTTGCTCCACCCCTCTCGTCCGGTGCCAGCGTGGTGCGGGGAGGGAGGGCGATGGGATGACGCTGGAAAGGGTACTGCTGAGAGGGGTGGTTCTGCGAGGGGTGCTGCAGCAACTGCAACCTCTGGGGGCAGCATGGGAGGAGCAGCACCTTGCACCCATCTTCTCCACCCACCTGCTGCCCTCCTCCCGCCGCCCCTCGTTCCTCCTCCAGCTGCTACCAGCGTTCCTCTCAAGGGACACTCCCCAGGTGATAGCTTCCCAAGCTTACACTTCACGAGCGAATCTCCACTCGACAGTTTGTTTTCTCGTTTCTCACTCGTGCTTTTGTCCATGTAAAACTGCTGTTGGCGATTTTGCCTTTCATTCTCTGACTCACTCCCTTTCTTCTCAAGGGCAAGAATGCAATGGGTGTAGGAGGGTGCGAGTGCTGCTGCTGGTGCTGCTGCTGCCGCTGGTGCTGATAGTGCTGGCAGTGCTGCTGATGGTGCTGGTCATGCAAAACTGGCTGATAAAGCTCCCTCTGTCTGGCCTTACCTCTCTGGTGAGATCTCTCTCTGCCTGGCCTTACCTCTCCGCTATGCTTTCATCTTTCTTTCTTTTTGTCTATCTCCCCGTTCGCTTCCTTTTCCTGCCTCCATTTCACTTATATCCACCCCTTCCAGTCCGCTCGGTTTGAAGGCAACTTCAACCTTCTCTCTCCATATTTTCCTCCTTGTCAGTGTTTCTGAACCTGTATCCCTTCCACTAGGCGAGGACAGCAAGGTGAGACAGCAAAAGGGGCGCTGAAGGGAAAACAATGGGAAGATATGATGTGGTGAGCTTAGTTCAGTGCTGCTCGTCACTAAGTCCCCCTTGCCACTCCTTTTTGGTCAGAGGGAGTAACGGTCAAGTGGCATTCGCATGTTGCATGCTAAGATCCCCTCGCCTAGCCAGGCCTCTCTCTTTCTTATTTGAACGTCATCGATGCTCCTCTCACGCCGTCCCTAATTTCCTCGGAACCCTAATTTCCTCTGACGAACAGGCACGGCAATGGAGGCATGGGATGGACTAGAGGCGAGGTCAAGTCAATCGGGTCGTCTCCTTATGGTATTTCTGCTCGCTCAACCTTCTTCTGCTCTGCCCCCAACTTTTCTTTGTCGGCCTCTCTATTGCATCTCCTCCCCATTTTTCGTTTCTTTTATCTTCGCCCCTTTACCTTCAGATCCCTTACTTCTCGGTTCTTCCTCTCCCCTTTGTTCACATGCCTTTCTCCCTCGTGTTTCCTCTTCCAGGTTGGATCAGTGGGCGGAGCAACATTCTGGCAGCAGCAGTGGAGCACGAGGGTGCACAAGAATAGCACGTGCTTTGAGGACTTCTCTTGTGGTGAGTTTCTTGCTGCTTCGTTTCTCATATGCCCTTCTCTCTCTTGCTGCTTCATTTTGGGTGGGTTGCTGCCATGACAGGATCGGACTGGTGAGGCTGGGATTGCGATTCCTTGCAGAGAGAGGCCAGCTGGTGACGAGCTCATCGTTGTTCTCTTGAAGGTGAGCAAAAAGCAACCAAGCACAGACTGAACCCACAAACAGCATGTCATATCATATCATAAATCTTATCATGTACATTATGTGGGTACCCAAACCATGTAAATTATGTGCCTATTTCAGACAACACATATCATTTCATATCATACCTGATTCGATCATGTAGAGAAGCTCAGCTCTTGTCTGCAACGTCTCCTCCTCTCGTCTGTTTGCAGTACAACTGAAGCTGCTCCATCTGGAATTCAAGACGGAAGATGAAGACCTATGCTAGAGTTGAAGCAGATAGGATAGGATAGGTTATCCAGACTAGTAACACTCTCAGGTATGGTATCCCCCCCTCTCCCCCTGCGTAGCACTCCCCCCACGCCCCTCTTCCCCTGCCCCTTCCCGACCCCCTCCCCCTCCTCCTTGCCCCTCCGCGTGCCCCCCCCTGAAACCCACCTCCTTGTGCGACCTCCCTCCCCATGGGACCCACCCACCTCAGCAACCACCTGCGCAGTGCCTGACCACATGGCTGACCACAGGGCTGACCACAGGGCTAATCACAGGGCTAATCACAGGGCTAATCACAGGGCTAATCACAGGGCTAATCACAGGGCTAATCACAGGGCTAATCACAGGGTTAGTCAAAGGGCTAATCACAGGGCTAATCACAGTGCTAATCACAGGGCTGACCACAGGGCTAATCACAGGGCTGACCAGAGGGCTGACCGCAGAGCTAAATGCAGGGCTAAACACAGGGCTTATCACAGGGCTAATCACAGGGGTAACCACAGGGGGGCTAACGACAGGGCTAACCACAGGGCCAACCACATACCGTAATTAATCACAGGGCTTGTGCCTTGTGGCACGTTAATTACAAGGCTTGTCTAGTGAAAACACTAATGCCAGACAGTAAATGTAGGGCTTGTGCATGGAAGCTCACTAACTGCATTGAGCCCAGGGATGCCTGTGACAAGGCCAATGCAGCAGAGTAGGCTAACCACAGTAAGCGTTGTTTCCACAAAGGTGCACATCAGTGTTATGTCGTTCTGGGCATATGGTTTAGTTTGTAATTCCATCCCAGCTTTGGCCATATTCTTTACAGTGTTTAATGGGCTATTGTCTGGCAATTTCTGTGATGCTGTGCGTGCCTCCTCCTCAGTGCGTCCACCCGCCAAATCATCAAGCCAATCTGCGGCAAAAGCTAAGTCGTGTGATTCGTGAATCAAGTTTCCGCTTGAAGAGGGGAGCCAAGCCACACTTAGGCATATTTATCAGTGAAGCACCTAGTTGTAGCTTATCTGAACATGATTGCACTTTCCGCGGCTACGGCTCTAGTCCGCAGAGTCCAGTTGCTCAGAGGAGGCTGCGTGTAGCGTCAGTCGCTGGTCAAGATCTGCAGTGCTCCCTTACCGTTACCCCTCGATTTTGAAAATATTAGTTTCGGAGGGCTGCGTGTCGCTCCATTGCGGCTTTCCAGTCCTTATTGTCGTTAGTTTCTATACGTCAATCCCAACTTCACCCTCACTTGTTCCCATGTAGCCCTTCGTGTATCGGCTATCTTGACAGCAATCCTTGCCAGCCGCTTAATGTTCTCCTCTTAATCCGCCACTGAAACCATGCCGAGCCGATTAGGATCATCGACAATGGGTGTCGGGAGAACGGCGGGTAGGACTGCTATCAATGGCACGCGCGCGCACGTGCGAGCTTGCCAGCTCAGCACGGAGATCCACACGCTATTGGCTGTCATGCGCCAGAGCTCCAAGTGGGCCGTATCCCCGATTTTCCTCGACGAGACCTCCGGAGCCGACGCGGAAGATCCGCTTTTACGTAATCTTAAAGCCCTAAGACAGAAGATCGTCACCGATTGGTCGGACGACGACTGGGACGCGGCGCGCGTGCCGCCGTCCGCGTACCTCGCGCCGTTCCTGGACGTCGTGCGAAGTGAGCGAACAAACACGATTGTTACCAGCGTCGCATTGTCGTCGGTGCTCAAGATCCTGAATCTGCAGTTCTTCGACGAGTCGACGCCTGGCGCCGCCGTGGGGATTCACATGGTCATGGATGCCGTCACGTCGTGCCGCTTCGAAGTCACCGATCTCGCATCGGAAGAAGCTGTCCTCGTGAAGATCCTCCAGGTAACGTCTTTTGAGCTGACTCAAAGAGTGTGTTTTGAGTCGACTCAAGACGCCCGGCGCGGCCGTGGGGATCCGCATGGTCATGGACGCCGTCACATCGTGCCGCTTCGAGGTCACGGATCTCGCGTCGGAGGAAGCCGTTCTCGTCAAAATCCTCCAGGTAACCGCATCTCCAGGTAACCGCATCTCCGGGTAACTACTTCACGTCAATATTTGTTTCTGGGAGCGATCAGGTATCGCGTGTTGAGGCTAGCACGTTGCGACGAAGCGGTTCTCGTGAAGATCCTCCAGGTAACCGCATCTCGAGGTACCACCGGTCATGGTAAGCACGTTGGGAGTCGTTGATGAGAATTCTCAAAATTACTGCCGCTTGTCCAAGGTAAGCACGTTGCGACAAAGCGGTTTGCGTCAAGGTCCTCCAGGTAACGTCGTCTGGAGCGCAGCACTTCTTGAGCTCACCGGGTCAATTGACACTGATCCAGTGAGGTCTTTCAGACGACTCGCGGCAGAGGAGGCACGTCTAGAAACAGTCCAGCTTGTCCAGGTACCCGCGTCTAGGCATGTGCAGCATCGTGAACACGTGCTGCACCAGGCCGCCTCCAAGTCACTGATTTCCCTCCCTCCCCCGTCCCGTCCCCTGGCAACCTTTCAGGTTCTCCTAGAGACAGTACGCGGCCCAGCCGGTTCCCTCCTCTCAGATCGCCACATGTGTAGCATCGTCAACACGTGCTTCCGCGTGCTACACTGGCCGCCTCACGTGCCAGTGTTTTCCCCTCTCTTCTGGCCTCTCCCTCCTTTCAGGTTCTCCCAGAGACAGTCCGCAGGCCAGCCGGTTCCCTGCTGTCCGATCGCCACATGTGTAGCATCGTGAACACGTGCTTCCGAGTGCTGCACCAGGCCGCCTCAAGTCTCTGATTCCCCCCTTCCCTTCCCTTCCCCCCCCCCCTCAAATCTCTCACTCCCATCCACTCCAGGTTCTTCTAGAAACAGTCCGCAGCCCAGCAGGCCCTCTCCTCTCAGATCGCCACATGTGCAGCATCGTCAACACGTGCTTCCGCGTGCTGCACCAGGCCGCCTCCAAGAGCCACCTGCTGCAGCGCCTCGCCTGCCAAACGCTCCTCGACATGGTCCGCGAGATTTTTGGGCGGCTGCCCGAGCTGCCCGCGAGCGAGGAGGAGGGGGAGCTGGGGGAGGCAGAGGCAACGCAGGGGACAATGGACAGCACGCCGTTTTCGCCACGGGTGGAGGCGAGGGAAGGGGGTGTGGAGGGGGGTGGGGAGGAGGGTGTGCAGGAGGGATCGCTTGAGCTGGGAGGGACGGCTGTGGAGGAGGGGGGCGGAGGGGATGGGCAAGATGGTGGGAGTGCTGGTCTGGTGAGTGCGGTTGAATTTAGGTGAGGGAATGGGTTTCTAAGTCGATTCAAATTTTGGTGGAGGAGGGAAGCAGAGGGGATGGTCAAGATGGTGAGAGTGCTAGTGAGGTGAGAGTGCTAGTGAGGTGAGAGTGATAGTGAGGTGAGAGTGATAGTGAGGTGAGAGTGATTTTAGGATCCAGGAGTGGAGCTGGGAGCAGGGGAGAAAGGGGGAAGAGGAGAGGTTGTATTGGATGAGTCGCTTTCATTTTCCCCTGCCTCCATCTTGCGTATTCATCTGTGACTCGTGTGCCGTGTGTTGCGCCCAGCGCTGATAATCATGCTGGCGCTTTCAAACACATTATCTGTGTTGCTGCTGCTGCTGCTGCTGCTGCTGTTGCCGCTGCTTCTGCTGCTGCCATGCTGCGGCTATGCAGGGTGAAGCAGGTCCGATCCCAGTAGGAGCGGCAGGAGGGGCGGCTGCAGTGAGTGCCACAGGCAGAACCAGCAGCAGCAGCACGGGCAGCGAACCAGCACCCAACACCCACTCCACCCCCACACCCAACGGCCTTCCCCCCACCTCAGCCTCGGCACCCCCCAAACCTCCCCCTCCCGCCAAGCCTGCCGAACAGCCCCGGGGTCCGCAGGACACAAGCAGAGAAGCCGAGGAAGGGGACAGGGAGGAGGACGGGGAGCGGGGACAGGCAGGCAGCAGCAGCAACGGAGCTTCAATGGGAGCGTTGGGGCGGCCGCACGGAGTGGCGTGTGCAGTGGAGGTGTTTCACTTCCTCTGCTCGCTGCTGGGTCTGGAGGACCACCAGTCAGCGCTCTTTGCCTCGGGCATGCTGGCAGACGACGACGTCTCTCTGCTGGCGCTGAGCCTCATCTCGGCTGCTCTCGAGCTCGCAGGGCCAGCGGTGGTGCTCCACCCGCGCCTGCTGTCGCTCGTGCAGGACGAGCTATTCCGCTCGCTGCTGCAGCTGGGACTGTCACCCAACCTGCTAGTGCTCTCCCAGGTGAGTGAATAGCCTTTCTCTCAGAAAGGGACTCTTTCATGCATGACTACTGTCAAGGTATTTCCCAGGCATCTACATGGTGTTCTATTAGTGCTCTCCCAGGTGAGTGGAGATTCTTTCTCTCAGAATGGGGTTTGTGCGTTTTCTTTGTTGGTGAAATCTGTCTCTCTCAGCAGGATTTCACAAATCTTTCGTCCATAGTCCAGACACTTTTCCAGCAGCAGGTGCTGCTCAAAATCTTTCTCGCTCAGCAGGTCCTGGCCATAGTCCAGACACTTTTCCACTCCATACACCTCTGCTTTCCCAACCTGTACCACTGCCTGTTCCCTTGCCCCTTCTGAACCCACCAGGTGCTGGCGATAGTGCAGACGCTATTCCATTCAGCCCGTGCCCACCTGAAGCTGCAGCTAGAGCCCTGCAACATCTCTTCTCCCTTGTACTTCACCATTGCCTGTACCTTTGCCTCTTCATGCTCCCTTCCACCCCACCACCTCCCAACCACCACAGGTCCTGGCCATAGTGCAAACGCTCTTCCACTCAGCCCGAGCCCACCTGAAGCTGCAGCTGGAGGCCTTCTACACCTGTGTCATCGCCCGCCTCGTCGGCACGGCAGGAAAGTTCACCGCAACTTCCTTCGCGCAGCAGGAAGCTGCCCTGGAAGCCCTCCTGGACTTCTGCCGGCTGCCCGAATTCGCCGTGGAAACTTATGCCAACTTTGATGCCGACCTCACATGTGCGAACTGCCTGGAGGAGCTATCGGGCCTGCTGTCTCGAGCTGCCTTCCCGGTTAACACACCGCTGTCGTCGCTGCATGTGCTGGCCATGCAGGGTCTGCTGGCCGTGGTGCATCATATGGCTGACAGGGCCAATGCTGCTGCTGCTGCTGATGTTGCTGCTGCTGGCGGTGGTGTGGGTGCTGGGGATGGTGCTGGTGCTGGGGCGCCTACCCCGATGCTGCTGCCAGGTTCGGCCGTGCCAGCGGCGCCGGAGCTGAAAATAGCTTCGGAGAATGGAGCCATGTGGACGCAGGCTCGGGAGATGGTTGCTGCTGCTCTGGCTGCTGCAGCTGTTGCTGGGGCAGGCGAGGGCGCAGCAGGCAAGCAGGCGGGCGTGTCAGCATCTGTAGACGGGTTTCAGGGCCAGCCGCAGAACGAGCAGCAGCAGCAGCACCACCACAACCACCACCATCAGCAGCAGTTGTTGCTAGTGGAAGTTGTGCGGCAGCAGAGGTCCATCAAGCGTCGCCTCCTCATAGGCGTGGAGCATTTCAACCGCGACTCCAAGAAAGGCCTGCAGTTCCTCCAAGCCTCCGCTCTCCTCCCCTCGCAACCCGACGCCCGCGCCGTTGCCTGCTTCCTGCGCTTCACGCCGGGACTTAACAAAACGCTGGTGGGGGATTTGCTGGGCGGGCATGAGGAGTTTCACGTCCGCGTTTTAGGGGAATTCGCTAAGCTGTTTGACTTCGAGGGCATGGCGCTGGACGCGGCGCTGAGAACGTTCCTGGAGGGGTTTCGGCTGCCCGGGGAGGCGCAGAAGATTTCTAGAGTGCTGGAGGCGTTTGCAGAGCGGTACTATGCGCAGGCGCCCGCGGCGTATGGGTTTGCGAATCATGACGTGGCGTATGTGCTGTCATACTCCGTCATCATGCTCAACACCGACCTCTATAACGGGCAGGTGCGTTGATTGGCTTAAGTTGCAGTGACTTGTAGCATGACGAGTGTGTGCTGCTGAGGGTCCGAGTTCTCCACCCCGTCATGAGTATGTGCCGTCAAGGACTCCCGGCAAGGGCCTCTGAGCCTGAGTTCTATTGTCAGGTAATTACCTGCAACCAGCTTCTTATGTCCTTCCATTTCCTTCCCCCCTTCCTCCCTCCCCCCACTTCTCTCCCTTCTCCCTCCCCCTGTCCCCCGTTTCCCATCCTCCGTGTCCCCCCCACTAGATACGTCGCAAGATGACGGAGGAGTTTATCCGCAACTCCGTCCACCCTATCAGAGAATTCTCAAAAAATCCATGCTCTATCATTTCCCTCCTTCTTCCCCACCTCCTCCTTCCGGCCCCCTCCTTCCTTCCCTCCCCACCCCCTCTGGCCCCGCAGGTGCGCCGCAAGATGACGGAGGAGGAGTTTATCCGCAACAACCGCAAGATCAACGACGGAAAAGACCTTCCTCGAGAGCTCCTATCAGAGCTGTACCACGCCATCGCACGCAACGAGATCAAAATGTCCTCCGACGTCTCGCTCTCCTCCTCCTCCGCCTCCGCCTTCCCCGAGATGAATCTCAGCCGCTGGCTCGGGCTCATCCGACGGTCCCCGACCGCCGTGCCGTACATTCTCGCATCCAGTGCTGACCCGGAACCGTCTTCTGCAGATGATGCTGCAGCTGTTGCTCCTGCTGCTGGTGATGGTAGTGGTGATGTCAGTGCCAGTGGTGCTGCTGCTGCTCCTGCTCCTAGCACTGACAGTGCTGCATGGGATGCCTCACCCTCTCAGTCTGCCTCTCAGTCCCTCGACTCTGCTGCTCCTACTTTCCTCAATTCAGAATCCCTCCCTCCCGCCCCTCCGCTACTGCAGTCCTCCTCCCCTCCTCGCCCCTCTCCCCCATCCAAGCACCTCTCCCCACTCTCCCCTCCTCTCTCCAACCTCTCCCTCCCGCGCTCCTCCTCCTCCTTCTTCCTGCTGCAACTAGACCGAGACGTGTTTGCAGTAGTGGCAGGCCCAGCCATAGCAGCCATATCCGTAGTCTTTGACCACACAGAAGACGACGAGTCCCTCCTCCGCTGCTGCACTGACGGGTTTTCAGCGGCCGCTGACGTGGCGGCTTTTCACGGGTTTTCAGGTGCGCTGGATGATCTGGTCGTCTCCCTCTGCCGCTGCACCACGCTCCGCCTGAACCCCTCTGGATCGCTGCCAAGTGGCGCCGATCTAGTGGACAACGCAGCAGCCGTGGCATTCGGGGAGGACACCAAGGCTCGGCTGGCTGCCGTGACTGTCTTTGGTTTGGCAAACAGGCACGGCGGGGTGGTTCGGGGAGGCTGGCGGAACCTTCTCGACTGTGTGGTTCGGTTGCATAAGCTAGGGCTGCTGCCTGCCCGTGTTATTATCGAGGTAGAGGATACAGAGGACGGGGCATTCTCAGGGGGGTTATACGCCTCCCCACAACCGCAGCAACAGCCGCAGCAGCAGCTGCAGCAGCAGCAGATGGGAACGAGTCCCACCCCTTCTTCTTCCACTATATCATCTACCACCACTGCTGCCACATCAACCCTTGCCATCACAAGCCCTGCAGCAGCAGCAGCTCGCAAGAAAGGATCAGGAAGCGGCAGCAGCGGCGGGGGGGAGGGCTGATGCTGCGGTTCTCCCAGCTGCTGCTGCTAGATTCAGATGATGACTACTCATACGGCGGCGCCAGCTCAGCGCAGCCCACGGAGCGCCAGGTGGCGGCGCGGCAGCGCACGGAGGAGGCGGTGGGGGCGTGCAGAATAGAGGAGCTGTTCCGAGGGACAGCAGAGAAACTAGAAGCAGAAGCACTGATGCACCTCGTGAGGGCCATTGTGTGGGCTGCTGGCAGGGCTTTTAGGGGTGCGCTCGGGATGGGGCCTGGGGGGGCTGGTGGGGGGAATGCTGGGGGGGCCGGGATGGGGGCTGGGGGAGGTGCGATGGGGGGAAGAGGTGGAGGCGGAGGGGGAGCAGGAGCAGTAGTGGGAGGAGGAGCAGGGGGAGGGGGGGGTGCTGGTGGGGCGTCTGTGGGAGGAGGAGTGGGGAGCGGAGGAGGGATAGCCGTGGGCCCGCTATCCCCAGACGAAGAAGACACAGCCGTTTTCTGTCTCGATCTGCTCCTTGTGGTAACCCTACGTAACCGCTCCCGCGTTCTGCTCATCTGGCCGCTGCTCTCCTCCCAACTCGCCATCATCATGCAGTCAGCCAATGCCGGGCCGCCACCTGGCCCGCTGGTGGAGCGTGCAGTCTTCGGCCTCCTCCGTCTGTGCAGAAAGCTCCTACCAGCAGCCGATGAAACCCTAGCGGATGAGCTCCTAAGGTCTCTCCAGCACGTGCTGAGACTCGATGCCAGGCTGGCTGACGCCCTCTGTGAGAGGATCACGCGGGGTGTGTTGGGGATTGTGAGGGAGGGGCGGCAGAGCGGAGCCCTACGGAGAGTGAAGTCCCCTCCTGGGTGGAGAACACTCGCTGCTCTGCTGGCGATCACAGCCCGGCATCCAGACGCTGCTGCTCCCGGGTTTGAAGCTCTCTCGTGGCTCATGGCGCCCATTCCCCCAGGTGCTGCTGCTCCCGGTGCCTCTCCTGCTGCGCTCGCTTCGGATTTCTCTGCTGGTGCAGTGGAGGATTATGGGGAGGTGTGTACTGATGGGCCGCCGTGTGTCTCCCCGTGTAACTTCATCCCGTTCCTCGATGCGGCTCGGGACTTCGCCGAGGCTCGGGTGGGAGGTTCGGAGCGGTCGAAGCGGGCGTTGGACCTGCTGGGGTGCTTGATAGACTGCCTGCTGGAGTGGAGGGTCGCAGGGGAGATGGAGCAAGCAGCAGAGGCTGACCGACAAGCAACAGCATCAGCAGCAATGGCAGGAGCGGCAGGAGGTGGTAGGATTGATGGGGACAGTTTGAGCAGTGACGTTTCCAGTGTAAATCCCGGTGCATTCTCCCCACAGCAGCAGCCTCCCCTGTCAGCAGCCCTCTCCCCCCCGCAACTAAGCCCCATACCCTCATCATCATCACCAGCAGGGGGAGGTGTATCTGGGGCAGGTGCATCTGGAGGAGCAGGGCGGTTCTCAGGGCAGGATCTAGCAGACCTCTGGCTGCGCCTGCTGCACGCGCTGCGCCGCGTGTGCTCGGACCAGAGAGAAGACGTGCGGAACCACGCTCTCGTGTGGCTGCAGCGGTGCCTTCTCGCTGCCGACCCCCTCCACATGCCCAACACCATGTGGGCTCCCTGCTTCGATCAGGTGGTGTTTGTCCTTTTAGACGATCTTTTAGAGGTGCATTTGCGGGAGAAACCCAAGGAATACCGGGGTATGGACGCGTCGCTGCTCCGTGCGATAAAGACGCTGTCCAAGGTCTTTCTGCATTTTCTTGCCAGCCTTGCCTCGCTGCCAGGCCCGGGGTTCCGAGCCTTGTGGCTCGGCGTGCTGCTTCGGATGGACCGATATATGAGGGCTGGAGGGAGTGGGGGCGGCGGAGGGAGGAGAGGAGGGGGAGGTGGGGAGGGGAGAGGAGGGGGGGGAGAGTCATTGAGAGAGAGTGTGGGTGAGGTGCTGAAGAATATGCTGATGGTGATGCTGACGCAGGGCGTGCTGCAGGTGACTGACGCGTCAGACATGGAGAGCCTGTGGAGCGCCACGTGGCGCGCGGTGCATGCGATGCTGCCGCACTTAAAGCCCGAGTCGCTCGTCCCGCCGGCACCGATTGCAGTTGCGCCCATGGCTGCGGGTCCTGTAGGTGCTGGTACTCCAGGGATGGAGGGGCAGCTAACAGGAGCGTCTGTGGCAGGAGGTGGGGGAGAGGGTGCGCTGGTGGGCGGGCAATGATGGAGGCTTGATCGGTGTGGGATGGGAACCATAGTGGAGCTATGCATAGAAGTTCTGGTTGCAGGAGCACTCACATCAGCAGTTCTGATTGCAACAGCGTGCACAGCAGCGCTGCCTGAGGCTGATGGGGCTGTGGGTGTGGAACAAGCAGGAGCGAGGCGTGCGGTGGGTGCAGTTTGGAGGATTATTGTTGTCTCTCTGAGCTTGAGTGCGTGGAAAGGCATTTGGCATATCGTGCAGGAGTTATGTGGTATTTGAACAAAGAGCATGAAGGACATGGTAAGGCTATTAGCTAGCTTTCTGTAGAAGCTTCAGTTTCTGCAAATGGCATGAAATGGGGTGTGGGACCGTGTTCCACTCTGGCTGCAGCTCCGAGAGTTGCTTGCTTTCTACGTGAGGCTTCAATGGCGTCCTATTAGCCAACTAGTCATGGCAAGGTGCCCCGTAATCAATTTCTGTGGTGTAGGTTGTGTAGTGACATTCTTGCTTCTTTGTTGTGCCATTCCGCAAGCTCTGGGGCAAAATTTAGATTGCGTTAGCAGATTAGGGTTTGTATTCGAATCCTAAATCCGAAGCCAATAACGCGGATAGTGTCAGGGAAGAAGCTCGAGGCAGGAGTGTCAAGACTTCGGCGGCGAGGCGAAGCAAGAAATTGGAATTTGGGGACTTGAAGATTTTCATCCCCTTCCGCTGAACCATGTCAAACCGATTTCGGGAAGCTTTTAAAAGCTCAGAACCGCTTGGCAATCATGTAGCCTTGCTCCATAACTTCACTATCAAAACTTGCCTGGTTTCTGCAAGCGAATGCTGAACTCATCAACAGAGACAGGGACATTCGGATAGTCACACGAGAGCTCCGTGTAAGCTTGTCTGTAGTTCTACAATTGCTCATAGTGCTAATCGCACGAAACCTTTCCATCTGAGGCAGCAATTGCCGATGGACGCGGGTGAAGAGGACTGCTTGCGCGACCTACGCGAGGGATGCGAGTGGGTCGCATCGCAGTCGACGCATTGCACCATCGACGACCAAGGTAGCTCACGGATACCATACTAACTCACGAGTTGACCGAGGTAGCTTACGGATACCATACTGACACTAGAGTCGACCAAGGTAGCTTAGAGGGACCGTACTGTATAGACCAGAGGCTCGACCATAGTAATGATAGAGTCAACGTGACATTAGTCGTCAGCTGCTTGGGTATTGCTGACTTGGTCATTCCAGAATCGATAAGCCGCTGAAACGCTGTAGTTTGACTTGTTAGAATATCACTAGCATATCTCAACTCGTCGACCCTAACTCCGTGGATGATGACTCTATCAATAGCTCCGTCTTTCCTGATTCCTTGATTGATACTCTGTAATGGCTCCGTTTGTCTTTACTCTGCCGAGCCTAACTAACTTGTCAACTCCTCGTACCTGCACTGCACCTGATTGTGATAACAATCGCCATTTTTTCCGATTTTTCTTGTCACAACCATTCTGACCCCTACCAGCGATTGAGTCGCTTGCCGATGCGCTGTGCGCGTCAAATCGCACTCAACCTACCGCCAGTACGGCAGCCGAAGCTGCATCCAATCCTGAAACAGCTGCTGCTGCTACAACCGACGCTACAGCCGGCGGTGCTGGAAGCAGCACCTCGGGAACTCACGGCTTGATACTACCGCCGTGGAATTTTGACGGAGTTCATTTCACGGATGGGGGGCCTCTCACCGTGCAGTACCTGCTGCTGCTCGATGCCCTCAACTTCTGCTTCTGGCCGGGTAACATGGTAACGTGGGAATGCGGTGCTGCGGTTTGGTATGTGGTGCAGCACGGTGTCCAGGGTGTGTCCCTCATCCAACCATGCTAGCCTCAAACCTCCTCAGACCCCCTCCTTTCTCAACCCTCTTCTTTTCCGTCACTTCAACGGTTTCATCTGCTTCATTTGTTTCGCACTCACGCACCAGGAAGGGCTCTTCATCCCCTCCATGTGTTCCACGCCCCTCCATCAGACCCCTCACTGCCCTACGAGCACCTGGCGTCCGGCCTAGGAGCAGCGGTGCACCGCGACCCCACCAGCATGTGCTGAAACCCCTTTTCAAAAGGCTCAATAATTCCGAATGTACCCATCCCCCCTCCATGCGCGTCACGCCCTCCATCAGAACCCTCACTGCCCTACGAGCACCTGGCGTCCGGCCTAGGAGCAGCAGTGCAGCAGGAGCCCATCACCATGTGCTGAAACCCCTTTTTCAAAAGGCTCTTCAAACATTTGCCCCCTTCATCCCCTTCTCACGCCCTTCATCAGACCCCTCAATCCACTACGAGCATCTGGCGTCCGGCCTGAGAGCAGCAGTGCATCGAGACCCCACCAGCATTGACGCTACCCGACTGGCAGTGCTTGATGGTGCGTGCGACAGCATGCTCTCACTGATCCGCGTTGAAAAACCGCTGGCCGCTGAAATGACATAGATTTTTGGCTGGTGGGATCTGGTCGACAGGTAAGTCTGGCAGCCTTTTTCCCACTTGCGTTAGACTTTTTCCCATTCCCTTTAGCCTCTTATGTTCCCCTCTCGTTGATAAAGCCCTCCAGGTTCCGCACTATGTCTGGGACTCCTCCCCTGCCTGAACTCCCAGCTTCCTGAAACCAACCTTCCCCTTAACGCCCTTTTCAAACTCCCCTCAAACTCCTCAGTGGAAGGTCTGCGTGCTCTGCTGGGTCCGAAGCCCTTTCCTCTGGAGCAGCAGAGGGTGCAGGCAGCACGGCAGGTGGGGCGGGTGCTGCTGCGGCGCTTCAGTGGCAGTGCGGCTGAGATGGTGGAGGAGGCAGGGGGGAGTGCGGAGAGATTAGTGCGCCTGCTCACCATACACTTCCCATGTGAGTGCGCCTGCTCACCACACACTTCCCATGTGAGTGCGCCTGCTCACCACACACTTCCCATGTGAGTGCGCCTGCTCACCACACACTTCCCATGTGAGTGCGCCTGCTCACCACACACTTCCCATGTGAGCCATCCCAGTGCTGATGGGCCATTTCGGTTGCATTGCAAACCTTCATTGCATGCTCCACGCACACTCTTCAAACTTCGAGTTTTGTTTTCTTCTTCTCCCTTTTCTGCTGCTCACTCATATTTTCCCCCATCTATCCCCTGCCCCCTCACCTTCTCCCCCACTCGCTTCCCCCCTCCTCCTTTCCTGCCTTCCCCTTTCTTTTCTCCCCCAGATTTTCAGGATCACGCAATCTACCGTGGCCGCCAGGTGGCGCTATTCAAGAGGGCGCAGATCTTCGTGGCAGATGTGTGGGGCGCGTTCAACGGGCGTGGGCTGGGTCACTTCTCAGACATACACCGTCTCACCATGTTTGCCGACTACGTGGTCCCCGCCGTGCTGAGAAGCAGAGGCGTGCTCCGGTATGCTGCGGGTCTTGCTGCTGCTGTGGACGGCAGGGAGGAAATTCTTCCAGGTAGGTTGGGTGTCTCTGTGTGGTACGCCCATGATACGCGCCGTCTCACCATGTTTGTTTGCTACTATGTGGTGCCAGCCGTTCTGAGGAGCAGAGACGTGCTCAGATACGCCCTGGGGCTTGCTGCTGCCTGAGAGGTGCTCAGATACGCCCTGGGGCTTGCTGCTGCCGTGGTCTGCATGCAGGAAATCCTGTCAGGTTATATCAGTGTCTGTATTGTGTGTGCTCGGACTGGCTTCATCATTTTCTGCATGTCTGCATGTGCCTGTGCTGTGGGCGGCAAGCGGGAATTACTCCCAGGTAAGTTGCTTGGAGGTTCTGCCAGGTGCGGTTGGTATTTCTCGCACGACTCGCCATTTGGCCATGTCTACCTCTGTCTCAGGTGCAAAAATTCCACCATATCTACACTGGCTTTGCTGACCCTGCTGGATGCATGATTGCCGTGCTCCTTCCGGTATGCCTTTCCATATTTGGTAGGTCTCTGGACAGGGAGTGGATATGAGAATGTGCTGGAGCAGCGTGTTCCTAGCGGGCTAAACAATCAACTGTTCACACTCCATGTTGTAACATCTGTTTCGCCTGTCAGAGGTGTGTGAGGTGAAGATGAGGGAGCGCCTTGATCGTGGCTTAATAGTCAACTATACGCACGGCATTTTCCCTCACTGTCACGATAGGTTTGGAAGAAGAGGTGGAGATCAGAGCGAGCTGCATCGTTGCCACTGAGAGGCTTCGAGAGCGACTGGAGCGTCTGTTGTTACGTCTGTTGCACTCCATGTTGTAACGTCTGTTTCACCTGGTATAGGTGTGTGAGGTGAGGTTAGGATAAGGGAGTGCCTTGATCGTGACTCAGAAGTCAACTGTATGCACGGCATTCTTTCCCTCATTCTCACAATAGGTTCGGAAGAAGAGGTGGAGATCAGAGCGTGCTGCATCGTTGTCACTGAGAGGCTTCGAGAGCAATTGGAGCGCACAGTGGGAAAGCCGGTGAGATCCTACCAATGCTGGCGACTATGTACATTCTTTGGAGGGGCATTGCACTGGATTCATGGCACTGCATTCATGGCACTGCATTCATGGCACTGCATTCATGGCACTGCATTCATGGCACTGCATTCATGGCACTGCATTCATGGCACTGCATTCATGGCACTGCATTCATGGCACTGCATTCATGGCACTGCATTCATGGCACTGCATTCATGGCACTGCATTCATGGCACTGCATTCATGGCACTGCATTCATGGCACTGCATTCATGGCACTGCATTCATGGCACTGCATTCATGGCACTGCATTCATGGCACTGCATTCATGGCACTGCATTCATGGCACTGCATTCATGGCACTGCATTCATGGCACTGCATTCATGGCACTGCATTCATGGCACTGCATTCATGGCACTGCATTCATGGCACTGCATTCATGGCACTGCGTTCGTGGCACTGCATTCATGGCACTGCATTCATGGCACTGCATTCATGGCACTGCATTCATGGCACTGCATTCATGGCACTGCATTCATGGCACTGCATTCATGGCACTGCATTCATGGCACTGCATTCATGGCACTGCATTCATGGCACTGCATTCATGGCACTGCATTCATGGCACTGCATTCATGGCACTGCATTCATGGCACTGCATTCATGGCACTGCATTCATGGCACTGCATTCATGGCACTGCATTCATGGCACTGCATTCATGGCACTGCATTCATGGCACTGTCATGTTCCAGTCTCACAAAGCAATTGGAAGTGCCTCTCGCTATGTGCTCCATGTGTGCTTGACAGATTTTGAGCATAGAGCTAGATTGGCTGCTATGGTCACAGGGAATTGAAGCTGATTTGCCGTTGTATCATCATCGCACGATGACAATTTATTATTGACGGATGAAACTTTGATGTGACATGCACGTTGCCTTCAATTGCTAGCTCCCACCAGTTTAACACCATCATAATGTTCATTGCGTTGGTGGAAGATAGAGCTGTTTCTCTCGTGCTTGATATGTTTGGCTGGGAATCTTGAATGTAACCATATGGGGAAAATTCACGATGGACAAGGCTAATCCCGTAGCTATTTGCAACTGGCACCTCGTCAAAAAGCTGTATTTTGCCAACACTCAGGTTACCAGGCATGTGAGAAGGGTAATCAGTCCCCCCCCAAACCATACACCTTGCTTTTCGACAACTTAGTGCAGTGCGCCGTACGCCAGTTTCACTCCATGCACTGGTCAGCGCTTTACTAGGTCTACCGGGGACTGCATTATCGGGTAGTTCTTTCCAATTGGTTGTACAAAATTATCTTATGATCGGAACGCGCTGACTCAGTTGAATGCGAACCAATCCTCCCAGCAAGCCCATCCCGGATCGCGATGCCAGCACACAGAGATGCCCTTTTATCGTGGAACACCACCATGCCAGCGCAGCAACGGTCGCGCCTTTTTGTCCAGGCAGTTCGAGATGACGTGACAGCTCAGTGGCGCTCACTCGTGAGAACCACTGGAAATACCGCCAAGCCCGATGGACTATCTGCTCCGACTTGGCAGTTGCGGATTCGCGAATTCCCTGAACCAGACATACACATGGGTGGTGTCACCAAGCTGATTGAACATTTATTTCCGAGCTCTATCCACAGGCGCTGCGGGGAACTCGACGCGGTTCGGCAACATCTGGTTTGAGCGTGCGGGAGGGCCCAGCCATGCGCAGATGCAGTTTCTTTGACTCTGCAATGCGCCTCAATTTGCTCCTCCCGCACGCCTCACCTTTCCACCTCGTCTTTGCCTGTCCGTCACTTTCGCGCCCCATCTTTGCGCATCACCTTTGCACCTCACCCATGCACCCCGCCTACAGACAGCAAGACAGCGCACCATCCTTCGATCCCCGCTTGACGTTGGTTCCTCCCAGCCAGCAGCAGAACAACGCAACTCAACCGCCTTCGTTCCCATCCACTCGACTTGAGCGGTGTCCCACTCACCAAGCATGCACAGCAGAAGGCAATGTTTGTGGTGCCAGCACTGCAGTGGAGATCCGCCAGCACGCAATCAGAGCAATCCAACGCAATCCCGCCCCGCTTTCTGCCCACGCTTCCTTTTCTCACTCCCTCCAGCTGATCGACCATCCCCATCAGCTCACCTCTCGTCTCGTCCCATGCCCGAGAAGGCTTTTATATAGCAAGCACAGCCGTAGGCAAAATCCATCTTTGAGCGAGCGACGAAGAGGTCGCTACTATCTGCCAATTGCGGTTCACGCGATCAATTCGTTCAATCGAGTCTGATTTGGCTCGCTTTTTATCAAGGATAGTTGTCAGGAGTATCAGCTACCACAGCGTGTTCCTACTTGTGCGTAATTCTGGTTATTTTGGAAAAGACCCTTTGATTACTACTGCGCGAAACAACATGGCGACAGCTCTCCTTTCGCACACGGCCTCCGTGCCGGTAACCGTGGCATGCGCGAAATCGACCGCGAATCCTCGCCAGCGCCTGCAATCGCAATTCGCGGGGTCCAGCCTCCGCCTCCCCGCGCGCCTCCCCCAACTCCGCGCGCGGAAGCCCGCGGGAATCTCCGCCGTGATCGAGATCGAACAAGAGGACATCCTCACCACACCGCGCGAGCCGCCCAAGACGATCCTGGAGAAACTCGAGGAGATGGATGACGTGGGCGTGCCGCACAAGGTGTGGCTGTCAGACGTGGTGACCGTTAAGAAGCGCCCGTACTTCTTCAACCGCGAGTGGCTGCCCAAGGACATCGGATACGCCGTGTTTCTCGGCGCCATCCATCTGCTCGCCCTCGCCGCGCCCTTCACCTTCTCGTGGGAGGCGTTCGAGTGCTTCGTCGCCATGTACGTCATCACAGGTGCGTGCTGACGTCGTGCCATGGAGCACCCGGAACCGTCCGATCCTTTTTTTTTTTTTCTCGCTGGTTTACAACTCCTACCTGATTGCCGCAGCGAATTTGTCCTCTGCAACATCAATTTTGTGATCGCTCACGCTCATGCTAGCTCGTCCCGTGTCATTTCTTCCATGGTTCGACGGGATATGGCAGCCACAAGATTGGCAGCCCCAAGGTTCATACTCATGAGATCGTGTGCTTCTCTGTGTGTTGCAGGCATGTTCGGCATCACGCTGTCGTTCCATCGCCATCTGACTCACCACAGCTTCATACTTCCCAAGTGGCTCGAGTACACCTTCGCCTACTGCGGCGTTCTCGCCTGCCAGGGCCCTCCGTTTGAGTGGGTGAGCGCGCACCGCGTGCACCACCGCTGGTGCGACAAACCCGAGGACGTCCATACGCCTTATGAGGGGTTCTGGTACAGCCACGCCGGCTGGCTGCTCGATAACGAGGCACTCGAGGCCAGGGTACGTTTCCTCTCTCCATGTCGTGCCGGTGCCGTCGTGTAGTAATTTGATAACCTGGTTACTAATGAGTATTTTGTGCGTGGTAACCCTACAGCTGGAGGGCAAGAACAACATCTACGATCTGACCAAGGACCCCTTCTACCAGTTCATCGACAAGACCTACGTATGGCACATCGTCGCGTCCGTCGCCGCGCTCTACGCGCTCGGTGGCTTCCCGTTCGTCGTCTGGGGCTGGGTAAGTCGTCAACCAGCAGCGCCTCAGTGACTCGTCAGCATTCGTTCACTTCTCCTTCGGGGGTTTGTAAAAGTCGTCAATATAACGTCTTCTTTCTAATCCTTCATTATTTTTATGGAATAATGTTATATGCGTGCAGGCTCTGCGCCTAGTGTGGGTGTACCACATCACGTGGTTCGTGAACTCCGCGTCGCACGTGTGGGGCGACCAGCCGTGGAACACGGGCGATCTCTCCCGCAACAACTGGTACGTCGCGCCCATTCTCACCGTCGGCCTCACTCTTTCATCCTCCCTAATCCCCACTGCTCACCCGTATTCCCGCTTCATCGTACTCGCATCACAACAATTGCCCCATTTCGCCTGCCACAAATTAGGAGCATTTATACTTCCGTTCAACAATCCCAATGGTTGGGAAAATAAGAACCAAATAAAGCAACGTGGTTTCCGTTTCTCCAAAACACCGATTATCTGTTTACGCTTTTCCCAGGTGGGTAGGCATTCTGGCATTCGGCGAGGGCTGGCACAACAACCACCACGCGTTCGAGTACTCGGCGCGCCACGGTCTGGAGTGGTGGCAGATCGATATGACGTGGTACACCCTCAAGCTGTTGGAGGCCGTCGGATTGGCCAGCAATCTACGGTATCCGCGCGAGAAGCACATGAAGAAGCTCGCGTACCCCGATTCGCCCCTCGCCAAGTCCTGAGCGCTGCTGGTGTACCCAGCAGCACCGGAATAAGCTGCAAAGCATTTGAATTTATTATTCTCAACGGTTCAATAGGGTGTGATGTGGTGCTGGAGACTTAAGCACTGCCTAAGTGCTGATAGGTGCTTGTTGCAAGCCTGTGCAGATTTCCCCTTGTGCTAAGGGTTAGGTACATGCCTAGTAGCAGAGCTGAGGCACAATAGGGGAGCTGCTGCAAGGTGTAGTTGCCTTCTCTTGTTTCATTGCTCGAGCCTTCTATTTGTGGTTGTATATTGCACTTGCTGAACAGTGAAAAACAGCAACAAAGTGTCACTGTATTCACCCAAAGTTTATCTGGGATGCTACAGCATTCATGTGTCAGGGAACATTAACCAGCTCTGATAATCAAAATAACCAGACTTCATAAGGGATTGGCCACAGCACAGCAGTCATGCGCTTGCAGCAGTCTGCAAAAAGCTGGAAAATGAAACTCTAGCAGAGGACAGGAGGTTGTGGTGGCGACGCTGCCACCGACTTGCCTAATAACCCCTCCGCATCCATGCCCGGTGGGATAAAGAGCAGATCACCCCACAACGAGTCCTCGTCGTTTCGCTGTAAGGGGAGCGGGAGGAAAGACAAAAAATTGGGTTGAATGGAATATCAGGGACAAGAAAAGTACCAAAGCGTAATATTTTGGTCCCTTCAATAACATAAATGAACATAAATGAAAATGTAGTGCCTTAAAGCTCACCTCAAGCATTTTGAGTACTTCCTCAAAGCTGCCAACCTGGGTAAGAAGAACCAAACGAGAAAAGCACGAGCAGGGAGAACGAGTCACTGCAAAAAAACAACGTAGCAGTGCTCCAATTGAACATGCAACCACAAGTGCACCCTCCAGTCAACCCCCCCACCCCTCTCCCCTGACATCACACCTGTATGTTGTTGGTGACTCGCATGTTAGGGTTCACTGCCTGTTTCTGCTTGATAGCCTTCTTCAGTGCAGCATCTAAATCCTCCTGCGGAATGACCGGCCATTATTATAATGGGTTGGGTTGAGGATGAAAGGGAGACAAGAGGGAGAGGGCATTGAAAAGGGTGCGATGTAAGGAATAGAGGAAGGATGACGGAAAAAGAAGAGGTAAATGTAGAGGTAACAATCCAGGTGATTACCATGGTGGGAAAAGCAGCAGCATCATGCCTGGGGTTGAGTCATGCATTAGTGTGCATACAAGGGCCTCATAAAGAAGAAAGCATACCTTGTTGAAAAAGACGGGGCAAAAACGCCTGTTCTTGCTGCGAAGGATGAGATTCTCCGACTGCAAAGGCAAACGGACAGAGTGAGTGAGTGAACTGAGGGAGCGAGAGTGAGGGTGAGATGGGAATGATTGCATCACAAACCGGACCCAAGACAGGACAGAAAGTTACCGAAATGCTGTGCAAGATATGCTAGTCCGCACCTGAAAGACGGGAACCCCGTCAAATGCCCGTGCTGTCTCTCCAGATGCTGACAAGACCTGCAAGTTCACAGAGGCAAAACAAAGTCAACAAAAAGTGTGTGAATAAATGATGGCAGCAAGCCAGAGAATGTAAAAGCTTCACCTTACTAGCGTGCTTCACCTGAAAGGCGTGCTTCACCTGAAGGGCGTGTTTCACCTGAAGGGCGTGTTTCACCTGAAGGGCGTGCTTCACCTGAAGGGCGTGTTTCACCTGAAGGGCGTGTTTCACCTGAAGGGCGTGCTTCACCTGAAGGGCGTGTTTCACCTGAAGGGCGTGCTTCACCTGAAGGGCGTGCTTCACCTGAAGGGCGTGCTTGACTTCACCTGAAGGGCGTGCTTGACTTGGGTGGGGTCAGGCAGGAAGCGGAATGCAATGCCCTCTGCTGACAGCTGGTACACCTGATGGGTGCATGGCAGCGGCAAACAGGCGATGCAAGAGAGCAGAGACGAGAGCTCAGGGGAAGGTTGACAAGATGCCGCAATGGGCACCAAAAGGTTACCAGAAAAGGTTATCAGAAAAGATATGATACGGAGTGAAGAGGGTGAAGAAAGCCAGTTAAATCTGAGGGGAGGCATAGGCTATGCTCATCAACACGATGATGCTGCGCCTTTGCAAACCAAGGGTCATTACTGAAATGGCGCTCACCTGCGCGTGACATGACAAAAAATCTCACACTCTGTGCAGAAATTCATAACAAATCCCGCTCACCTTCTCACTTCAATCGACTCCCACCTTGTCAAGCGACTCCCACCTTGTCAAGCGACTCCCACCTTGTCAAGCGACTCCCACCTTGTCAAGCGACTCCCACCTTGTCAAGTGACACTGGCACCACCTTCGCCCCACGCCCAAGTGACGGCTCGCGATCCTTCACCTACACACCGTCCGAGGCGGAGGCACGAACGAAGAAATGAGGAAGATAAAGAGACAGGGGGAAGAGACACATGGATGAGGAAGAGAACGAGAAGCAAGGGAAGGACGCCTGGCGGATAGGTCTGCGCCAGCAGCAGTTGGTCATTACCTGTGCCAGCAGCATTTCAGCATCTTCTCTCCTGAAGCAGAACAGCCCGAGCGACTTGTTCCCTCCCATATCCGATATAAGCACGAACTCGCTTGCAGTGTTAGTCACAGTGTACACGGGTACACCATCTAACCGCTTCGCGACTTGGTCTGCCGACATGGCAATGTCGAAAATGTGTCTCGCGGGAGATTCGAACCCGTGACCTTCCGCTCCTAGTGCAGACGCGGATCCGCCAGTAGATGCGAGATCCGATGCGGATGGTGACTGTAACGAAGCCAGTCGTTGATCCGCTGAATCCACAGCAGCAGCATCACCGAATCTCCCCGCAAACGACGCCGTGATGGAGGCGAAATTGTGACGAAATGGGAGCAACGACGCGTCGGCGACATTGTTACAACTGTCGCCGATCGGATCGATTCCGCCAGTGACTCTTCCCAGTAACCTTCCGGCTTCCTCCGGGAAACCCTCAACGAGCCGGGCAACGTCCCGCTGTCTGTCCCTTAACCACCCTCCAGCGGCTTGACGGAGCTTAGAAGGAACGTTCTGACGTTCCTCGTCGGCGCGCCGATCGGATCCATCCGCGTGGGCTTCACCACCCTCAATCCGATGCGAGTTCTGCTGAATCTGATTCAAATGATGCTGAACAGACTGGAGCTGCGTCTGCAGCCATCGGATCGGCTGCTGCTGCTGCTGCTGCTGCTGCCCCGCAGGTCCCTCTGTCCCGCAGGCTGGCTTCCTTTCAGCGAGCTTCTGAGCGTGACGCAGCAGGCCGGAAAGAGCCTCGCGTGGACCTGAAAGCGTGACGCCTTGCATGGCTGCGTGCTGGGAGTTACCGCCGGCTTTGTCCATCTCTTGCAGATGTATTAAACCGTGGAAGCGAAACGACGCGCGCTAGTTATGTTTCAACCATGGCATGATCAGCTGGGGCTTTCCAAGGGATCATCTGTCTGGCATGTGGAATCACGAGGTATGGATGGGATGGGAGGGAGGGAGCATTGACCTAAACTTGTGCGTTGAAAGCAGGCGCGTTAAGAAAAATAGAACAGCACTTCAACAGTTATTGAATCAGAGTTTTACAACTATATAGATTCCTCGATAAGGAATATTGATGAAAACGGATAAGGAGGTCGATAATAATGAAGAATTCCAGGTTCAGGGATGAGCCAACAGGCCATCCTTGTGAGGACACTCGAAAGTCCATTGTCGACTAGCGTGACATGGCAGTACTTTTGAGCCATTTTGGCTTGCGGAATCCACGCGGCGCCCGCCATGTCGCCACCTGGCCTCGCCCCATCACTTCGGAAACTCGGGAACCCCAGTGCATTCAGCCTCACCTAGGGATCAGCCTCACCTCGAGATTGGCTCCTCCCATGGGCAACTCATCCTGTTCCTTCGTGATCACTCAATACCCCCCTCCACACCTCATCCCGCCCCCTCCGTGCCGAGGGATAGTGGCAGCCTATTGAGCCCAGTGCTTAACTAAGCGTCATTTGCACCCATTCTGTTAGTGCAGGAACCCACTACTTCCTCCAAGTCTGTAGGTTTGAATTGTGCTCATAACTCCCGCCAGCCAAGAGAGAAAAGTAAGCGCAGAAGCTGGAGTCCTAATTGCTCAAGAAGCATTCTTGGAGCGAAGCGGACGTCCCTAATACGCAAAACCACTCTTTTGGTTGCCGGATCGCGCATTTTCGAAGCTTGCACACGCCATGGCGACCACTTCCCTCCAGTGCTCCCGGCTGAGCTGCCAGCTCTTCTCCCGCTCCACACAACGAGCATCGCGACCGGCCGATTCCATCAAGACCGACTCGTTCGCGCACGGAAAGAAGCTCGCGCTGACCGCCGTGCAGAGGAGAGCATCAAAGTTCGCACCCAAGGCGTCCGTCGCCGTGCAACCAACGGCGAATGCGGAGACCATCAGCACGGACGATCGGCTGCGGTTGAAGGAGACCGAGGAGTCGTCCAAGCCGTACTCTGTGATCGAGGTCGATGCTGCGGAGAAGAAGGAATTCAATGTCGCGACCGTTGTTGCCGTTCAGGACGTCGCGCCTGATGTGCGAGTGGTGACGGTCAACGCGGAAATCTCGAGAGAGGTATGACGCTTCTTTTGAAAGCCATGTCTCTACTGCAAGCGATGATGATTTAATTCTTTCATGGTTCTGGCATTAACTTGAGTGTCAGGGTTAAAATAATATGGAGCAAGTGCGACTGTCCGATCCTTGTAAGAATCAGACAAGTTTTCCCGTTGGTGGCCTTCGAATTCTTCTTTTAAACCACATAGGTGAACGAGAAGTTTAGCGTGCAAAGTCGTAGCCGGTAAGTTCGGCTGTCACGGCAGAGCGCACCATACCTGAAATTTCGTCTCTGTCATGCGCATCATGAGTCGAGACGTGGACGAATGGCTGCGTCACGAGCAAGGTGATTGCAGCACAGCGCTCCTGAGAAGAATTGCCGTTGAGCGCATCAGGCATGTCTCTCCTGGCGAATGGTGCCTACACGAGGATAACAG